CCACGTGACTTACCAAGGCCCAAGCTGCAACCCCACCCTTAAATTTACACCAAACATCATGATATATAGCCAGTGTTGTCGTAAAGCTATGAGAAGATGCTGTCATTCAACTGAAAGTATGGCGAATTTCTTCATCAAAATCTTGACAAACTTCTTCCTCCTTAAATAATTTTGATTACACTGGCCACTGGTTCAGTAGCAATTTATACTTTGACAATTTCAGTACTGTTTCTGACAGTTCTAATTCTAGCTTTGTTGACCGTTTTGAAAATTAAATGACACCTGCAACTGTTCAGTCTGAATCTGACCCAAAGTCTGAGTCATAGAGTGAGAGTCATCCATATCCGAGATATCGGGAAGTTTAAGGGCGCTGAGAACTGAATTAACTTCTTTCTCCAAATCTTCAACTCCAATCCCATCTCCCATGGAGACTTGGACAGCAGCATTAGAAACTGTTGGGCAGTTACTGGAAGTGGCACTTGCAGGGTTTGACTTAGCAATTTTTCTGCGAGCTTTCACTTCATGCCACTTTTTCACTGCTTTCTTGACCAGGCTTTCACACTCTTACTTCTGGCCCATTGATTGTAATGTGCATTAGTGATTCCAACATATCACCTTTCAGAGAGCTTCTCAGCCTTGTTTTTCAGTCGTTTGACTGCTGATGCCCCACGCTCCGGTCAGGTGTTGCTTACGGGCAGAGACATGCACACTTCAGCTAGACAAAAAATGACTGGCACAAAATGACTGTAAGTCGATTGATTGGAAAGCATGTGACGTAAAAGCCAATCTGTAGGTGTTTGGGATGTCAGTTCCTTGTTCTTTGGTGGCTTAACAACATCTGCTGGGATTTCACTCTTGAGTTTTAAGATGCTGTACTTGAACTTCCGCCACTCACAAATCAATTCCTCTGTCTTCTGGACCTTTGATTCTCCAGTCTCCAGCTGATACAGATATTCTGCAAGGATCTTGATCTTTGTCACCATACTCACTAAAGCTCACATCAGACTTGGGTGGCACTGCAACTGGATCAAAGATTTTGAAAGCACTCAGGATGGGAAGGCTATCCTTGAAACGGGAAGCAATATTGTCTTGCAGAGCATGGACATACTTTGAAGTCAGGTTTCTGAGAAGTGTCTCATCATGTGCTGTTAGAGGAGTCAATCCGCTGTAGTGTAGTCTGCCGTCTTCAGCAAGATCTCTTCTATAATTACTGATCCTCATAAAATCCTATTGTTCTCTCTCAGCATTATATCGGCGATTCCAGCCTGAGAAAGTATTCATATTCAGTCAAGTCCAACTGTCTGAGGAAAACAGTGGCGGTCCTTTTTGGTAGCAGGGAAATTATCAGGGGTAATCCTAAACGCGCTAAAACGTTCAATATTGCAGTGGGCTGGCTGCACTGCAATATTTTTAATAATGCTGCATGACTGTGGTATTTACTTCGTTACTTTTCCACTCAGTAATTTTTGAAAATTCGCGAATGTCTGCGCATAATTTATGATGAAGATCTGAAGTTAAAAAGTAAATGAATACACCATGAGAAGTACCATTCCAGGAGACGTATGTAACCCTGTTTCTTCCCTTTGTCCATCATATTTTTGCTCAACATCATTGTTAAACAGTTTTTCATTTTTTTCCTTGACGTCTATTTCTGCCCTCTTAGGAGTCACTCCCTGCAAGATTTCACTTGCTTTCCTTTTAAGTGTTGATGAGGTACACTTATACTCCCTAACCCCATCACATGATCGGTGACCAGTGGTTTCTACAATAACTTGTTCTGGCACACCACCTTCGTACAATCGTGTGGCGCAACTTCGTCGAAGGGCAACGGCAGCTGCATTTTCCGACCTCTGGCTCTGCGTTATGAAAATGGCAGATTCGTCTTCCGAAGAATCCTCCATCAAGCTTCAAAACAGTAGCAACTCTTTGCCTTCCAACAAACAACTCAAATAACCAAGTGCATTGCGTTAATATACAATGCAAATTACGTTTGCATGAAATTCAATCACACACCTGAAAGATGTGGAAAGTTACATAATCTTTACAAGGATTTAACAATGACTAAATTCCGGGAAATGAAAAGGGTTATGTAATTTGTATAACTACTAGACAGTACGTGCTAATTGCATTGTTGGAGAGAGAAAATAGTAGGAATTCATGAGAGTCAATGATTATATCATCTTTGCAAGTAGTTAACACATTGCGGGTTAGAGCATTTACCTGGGTGATCCGGTACCCTTCAAAATTCCACAGTGTCTACGGCTGAATAACAGTTGTATCTTTTGCAACAAAATTAGAATGGATTACCATTTCATTAAGAGAGAGTCACTCGTATCTCCATGTGGCCATGTAATATTCCCTTTTCACTAAACAACTAGCAGGGAAGTACTAGAAGACCTTCCGCAAAAATGTGACACGTGCAACATGTTATTTTGACATGTGAACGCCGAGGCTTTGGATACAAAGTAATTCGTACGCAAAGGAAATGTTCTACAAATCTGAGCCTTCCAAATCAATTATCTCAGTATGTGTACCAAAATCTCTTACAAAAGTGCCCTTGCTTAAAGCTTCTGAAAAATACTAAACATTTGGAAAAATGCATTAATTACATAACATTGTGCTACCATACTACTTGAAGACTCAAACCAATTTCATTGCTACTTAAAGGACAGCACTTTCTAGAAAAAACTGAACTGGGTTACAGTCGCTCATTAGCAACAATAGGTTACATTGCACCCATGGATGTGCCACCTAATGTGCAGCCTATGTTAATTACCTTTAACTAAATAAGACACTGGGTTACACAGCACCCATGGGTGTGCCACCTAGAGTGCAGCCAAAGGAAGTTACCTTTACTAAATACAACACTGGCCTACACTGCACCCATGGGTGTGCCACCTAAAGTGCAGCCTATGTTAATTACCTTTAACCCTTTCACTGCCACAGTTCTGACAAAGACTGTTTTCTGACTGCCAGGTTTTTTTTACTAGTAACCTAAAAAAATCACTCTCAATCTTTAATGGCTTATATCTCAGTCAGTTTTTAAGATATTAAAATGAAATTTTCAGGATAGTATCTGGAATAAACAAATATTTTTTCTACGTTGTCAGGGGGGGTGATCGGGTCATGTGACCTGACTTTCATTGCAAGGCATTATGGGTTTCTTAAAAATAACTATTTTAGATTAAATTTCCCTTTCATTTCTCTTTGTATTTTTTACCTAAAACACTGAAAGGACTTAACTCAGCTGAACAATCTCTTCATCATAACTTTACAAAGTTACATTCAAGCATAAAGGCTAATATTCTTCCTAAAAAGTGATTTTTAGCAACAAGTTTGCTGTTGCACCACTAACAAATAATGACAGTGAATTTTATAAAGACAAAGAAACAAATATGTCTTAATATATTCTCCATCATAACAAACATGAGAGTTTATGTGTCATATCACACAGTGTGTTGTGTACAAGTGATACTGAGCAGTACCATAGTGTAATGTTTACAAGTTATACTGACGCAAAGTGTGATAACGTTCAAAACAAGGAACAATGCATAATGCTATATCACACTGCTTGCAATAAAAAGAAGTTTGCACCCTTTTCTTATTTTTCCTGTCAGAGCAAACCCGACAATCAAGTTTTTGCTTGGGGTTCTCATTTTTTCCTAGGAAATGGCGTCCAGTAAGTCTTAGAGGGTCTGGGGTATCTGAGGGCCTCCCATTTTGGTAATTGTGAAGAAGAGCTCCCCAAAAAACCTGTCGGCCGACAGTCGACCGACAGTCGGCCGACAGTCTACCGACAGGTTAAGAAAAAAGAAAAATTGTGTTAAAAACGAACAGTTAACGTGACATAACAATCCGTAATGGTGATGTATGACTCGACAGACTTCACCTACTTATCGATCGACGGCAAAGTTGGTAGTATGTAAAGAAACGTTTCTTCCAAAATGTTACCGATCGACGGCAAAGTTGGTAGTATGTAAAGAAACGTTTCTTCCAAAATGTTATCAGATGCGTATAGGATATATCACTTGCGTAATTTACAACACACCAGACAATCTAAGAATCGCATGGGAAGATAATTTAATCGAAAGCTCGGCCAAAAACTCTGAAAACCATAAGCTACGTATCAATACAAACACTTTCGTTCAAATCGCCCAACAATGCAACGCGGCCTCTTATGGTATGTTAAGTATGTATGTATGTATGTATGTATTTGTTGCTAGCATCGTAATCTATCTTGCAGGTTTGGGATGAATTGCTATTTCCAATTTCAAGTTTAATAAATGATACAACTGTGAATCTTTTTACTCGTTATGTTAAGTAATAAAATAATTGTCAACGTTTGTGTTAACGTTTCACGGACAAGCTACCGACAAGCTACCGACAGGTTACCGACACATTACCAACAGTCGGCCGACTGTCGGCCGACAGGTAGCCTATATTTCAGGCAAAACCTGTCGGCCGTCTGTCGGCCGACTGTCGGCCGACAGTCGACCGACTGTCGGGTGACAGACGGCCAACTGTCGGCCGACAGTCGGCCGACAGTTTTTTTGGGGAGCTCTTCTTCACAATTACCCCCATTTTGAGGCTGAGGCGGGTTCCAGTCCCTCAAAAGCCCAGTTATTACTTGCTCTCTAAACTTTTTAGGGTTAACTCTTTTAGTGGAGTTTGCCTTCTTGTAAAGAATAAACCCATTTACGAGGGCAATTTCCCTGGCCCTATGGAAAAGGGTATGATACCATTTGACACACTTGTGAGGAAATTGGTATGTGCCTAGCATTTGGTCAAGGGTGTCGACCCCACCCATGTTTGAATTGTATCGATCAGCGATTACTGGCTTTTCAACTTCCCTATAACCCCCTTCCCCATTCTTACTTCTAACAGCCTTGTCTACTGTCAAATTATTGTCAATAGTACTCAAAAAGGTAACACGTTTTGTGTCTTGCCATGCACAGGCAACAAGATTATCTGAACGCATAAAACAGGCGGTTCTCCCTTTTTTAAAGACAATCTTGATGGCAAGAGCTCTTACTGTGATTTACTTTCACAGTTCCACAGGCACCAATGTTCTCTTGCTCCAATTTCTTGAATAGAGATGGAGCAGAATAATAATTGTCCATGTAAACAATGTGGCCCTTGTCCTCGTATCCTTGCACTAATGACAAAACAACCTGTTCCGAAAGGCTGACCCCTTTATATCGAGGAAATGATGCTTTGCCAGTGTAGACAATGGACCTCAGGCAATAGCCAGTTTTTGCCTCAGCAAGCACAAACTGCTTGATCCCCCACCTTGTGGGCTTGGCTGGAAGGTACTGCCGAAAAAATAGTCTCCCCTTGAATTTGACCATACTTTCATCCAAGGAAAGGTCACGTGCTGGCTGATACCACTTTTCATAAGTTGGGTTGACTATGTCCAACAAAGGTTGAATCTTGAATAAAGGATTGTAACCTTCTTCACCCCTGGCAATTTGGTTTTCAATATTGTTAAAATGCAGAAATGCTTGTAACAGTTCAAACCTGTTGCGTGACATCACAGATGAAAATGGCAGGGCTGTCAACCAAAATCCACTCCAATAATCAGCATGGGCTGGTTTCTGGAAAAGCCCCATTGCAATTTGCAAAGCGAAAAAGGCTTTTATTTCATTAGGAGATGTGTCTTTCCAGGCTTGAAAACGAGAACAAGGCTCAAAATCAGCAGGCGTATCTAAATACTGTTGTGCATACCTGTTTGTCTCCCTTGAAATCAGTTCAAAAGCTTCATTTGGGAAGAAGAGATAAAAAAAGTCGACTGGGACATAGTTAGATGCATCAACAAGTATTCCCGGCCGTTTGTCAAAATTTTGAAGCCATGTGGACTCGAACAGATCAATATCCTCGTAAAATTCCCACTCTATTTCTCGCTCACGAGCGATACCACGTCTAGCTCCTCGTGCTCGCAGCAAATTTTCCTCGTCGGCTGACATGTCTGTGTCGAAATCATCAATGCTATTCTCCATTTCACCTTCGGAACCCGATTCCATGTTGATTTCAGTGTCACTGGCGCTTTCGCTTTCTGAACCACTTGCTTCTTCTTCCATTTCAGAGTCACTGTCGCCAAAAATAGTATCCAAAGCCTCTTCAACAGTAAACCTTCGATTAGACGCCATATTTAAATGCCCAAAGTTGTAAACAAATAAAAAATATGGATTTCTCGAGTCAAATATGAGCTAAATTTGCTTCGTTTCGAGTCGAAAATGAAACCAGCACGTGTTTTGATTAACCTGATCTAAGAAGCTATTTCATTGGTTAGTTAGAACAGGGACTATGATTCGTTCATTTTAATGCTATTGTTTGGGCGACTAAAGTCGCCCATGGCGGTGTATAGGTAAGGCGACTAAAGTCGCCCATGGCAGTGAAAGGGTTAACTAAATAAAACATTAGGTTATACTGCACCCATGGGTGTGCCACCTAAAGTGCAGCCTATGTTAGTTACCGTTTACTAAAGAAAACACTGGGTTACACTGTACCTATGGGTGTGCCACCTAAAGTGCAGCCTATGTTAGTTACCGTTTACTAAAGAAAACACTGGGTTACACTGCACCTATGGGTGTGCCACCTAAAGTGCAGCCTACAGTAGTTACCGTTTACTAAAGAAAACTCTGGGTTACACTGTACCTATGGGTGTGCCACCTAAAGTGCAGCCTACAGTAGTTACCGTGAACTAAATAAAACACTGGGTTACACTGCACCCATGGGTGTGCCACCTAAAATGCAGCCTATGTTAGTTACCGTGAACTAAAGAAAACACTGGGTTACACTGCACCTATGGGTGTACCACCTAAATGCAGCCAAAGTAAGTTTCCTTTAACTAAAGAAAACAATGGGTTACACTGCACCCATGGGTGTGCCACCTAAAGTGCAGCCTATGTTAGTTACCTTTAACTAAATAAGACACTGGGTTACACTGCACCCATGGGTGTGCTACCTAAAGTGCAGCCTATGTTAGTTACCTTTAACTAAGTAAGACACTGCAGGGCGTGAAATTAATTTTTTTTTCTGATAGCCACCTGGCTCCTAAATTCTTCAAAGTGGTAGCCAATTCAAAAAAAGTTGGTCGCCATTTTCAAAGACAAACAAAATCTTTCTTTACGCTGTCAACGTTCTAGATAGACCCTCCAAAATTAAGTCAGGGAAAAGATCTTTAGCGTGCTACAAAGTGGACACTAGGATGGATGATATACAACGTTCAGGCTCATCTAAATCCAAGATGGCGTCTAGTTATCGCTCGAGATGCATGTGCTACGTTTTGGAAACAAACTTAACGAGGAAGTTTGCCGCGGATTTATCTTTGCAAATCTTTTTAATTCACTATATCTCTTGGTAAGGTTATGATGAAATGTTCTGGTCGCCAATTTGGCGACTAACTTTCAGGATTTGGTCGCCAAAGTGAAAAATTTTGGCACATTGGCACCTGTATTAGGCGCAATTTCAAGCCCTGCACTGGGTTACACTGCACCCATGGGTGTGCCACCTAAAGTGCAGTCTATGTTAGTTACCTTTCACTAAATGAGACACTGGGTTACATTGCACCCATGGGTGTGCCACCTAAAGTGCAGCCAAAGGAAGTTACCTTTACTAAATACAACACTGGGCTGCACTGCACGCATGAGTGTGCCACCTATAGTGCAGCCTATGTTAATTACCTTTTACTAAATAAAACACTAGGTTATACTGCACCCATGGGTGTGCCACCTAAAGTGCAGCCTATGTTAGTTACCGTTTACTAAAGAAAACACTGGGTTACACTGCACCTATGAGTGTGCCACCTAAAGTGCAGCCTATGTTAATTACCTTTAACTAAATAAAACAGTAGGTTACACTGCACGCATGGGTGTGCCACCTGAAGTGCAGCCTATGTTAGTTACCGTTTACTAAAGAAACCACTGGGTTACACTGCACCTATGGGTGTGCCCCCTAAAGTGCAGCCTACAGTAGTTACCTTTAATTAAATAAAACACTGGGTTACACTGCACCCATGGGTGTGCCACCTAAAATGCAGCCTATGTTAGTTTCCGTGAACTAAAGAAAACACTGGGTTACACTGCACCTATGGGTGTACCACCTAAATGCAGCCAAAGTAAGTTTCCTTTAACTAAAGAAAACAATGGGTTATACTGCACCCATGGGTGTGCCACCTAAAGTGCAGCCTATGTTAGTTACCTTTAACTAAATAAGACACTGGGTTACACTGCACCCATGGGTGTGCTACCTAAAGTGCAGCCTACGTTAGTTACCTTTAACTAAATAAGACACTGGGTTACACTGCACCCATGGGTGTGCCACCTAAAGTGCAGTCTATGTTAGTTACCTTTCACTAAATGAGACACTGGGTTACATTGCACCCATGGGTGTGCCACCTAAAGTGCAGCCTATGTTAGTTACCTTTAACTAAATACGACACTAGGTTACACTGCACCCATGGGTGTGCCACCTAAAGTGCAGCCTATGTTAGTTACCTTAAACTAAATTAAACACTGGGTTACACTGCACCTATGGATCTCTAACTATAGAAAATTCTGTGTTACTCTACACTTTAAGGTGTGTTAACTAACAGAATCAGACATGCTTAAATTAAACAATGGTTTACACTTCAATCCTGAGCTCACCTATATTCCTACATGCAGTAGCTTTCAGTTAATGGAGCTCCATTAATTTCAAGCTGCTGTGTGATGGAATTAGTCATAAGATGGGTAAATTACATAGGAGACTGTAGCAATTAAAGAAATACTCACAGAGGTATTTGATTCCTAAAGCGCACTCCGATGGATCGTCTGGACGCTGTATGAACTCAATGAATACACATTACTAGTGAACTTGACTACATAATGTTAAATCAAGTTGCAAGTATAAAAATAATAGTTGCTTCTTACTAACATCAACACGAGCTTGGTAAAATGTAACTGATAAGGATCAAATGTTTTGCTGTGTTCACATCTTCATACGGCTTCTAGAATTTATCCAGTGGTAGGGCAAGTTCTACAATTTCTTCAAGGTGTTGAAGGATTTCCCGTTCTGTTGGACCTGAAACACAACAGCATGAGAGCAAATTAAAAAAGAAAAAAAAAAAGATTTTACCTAAGACCTATGGAAAACATCTCTTGAAAACATTATTTTAGGAGATGTCTTACCAGACATTGAACTGACATGGATATTCTGCTTTGTAATAGCAGACTGTTGATCTGACTTCTTCTTTACTGAGATGCGATCGCCATGAAATGATTCTGGGCCATAGTTTTTCAAGGCAGCATTGGCCTCTGCTAGGGAATCTACCCTGTATGCAAGAAGACCAATGGATGCCAACAACTGTTCAGTGTTGCGCATCTCCATATGGAGAGCACAAAGTTGAATGTTGCGAAGCTCTTTGTCCAAAAGAAAAACCAGATCATCTCGTATACCAGTTGATCTACAAGAGAATTTCAAAGAATGATTGATTTTCTGAAGCAATGAATTATTTCATGTTTTTCTCTAAAAATGTTTTTCTTTTTCTTTTTCAATTACCAAAGTATGAGTACTCCGTTCCTGACAGTATGAAAGCAATTTATGGCAACCTTCCAAGTTTGGCAAAAGATCCTGAATGAGGATTTTAGTTTACTAGCAACAATTAAAAAAAAACCCCAAACTATACACTTAATTTCAGTTCATGCTTTAGTACAAGTCATTTCCCCATGGCTTACAAAATTCATTTTGTTATGTAACAGTAAGAAAATCCCCTTTATGTGTTTGAATGTAATTTAATATGACAATGATCAAATGCCTACACACCTTCCTATGTTGCATTTGCTTCTGAGGCAATCCAGGCATGTCTCATCTGGAGCAACATCATGGCATTTGCAACCCTGACAAAAACAGGCACACTATCAAATAATATATGATATTATAATTTCAGATAGAACTACACATTTATCATGCTTCCGATTATCTTCTTCAGAGTTCATGCAGATTTTTGGATCCAAAATTCAAGACTTTTCCCAGACCTTTTTTCGAAAACATCAATTTATTTTTCCAGACTGAAGATGGTCAAATAGGTGATCAATAGAGATCTTGAAAAATGCAGAAACCAAGCTTCTTTCATGATGCACTGTAAATGTACAATAACCATGGTGCAATTGTGAAACTTCTCGTTCTGTGATTGAATGTCTTAGCTACAGGCGAGATTGAATTGACCACAGGGGTAAAAAAATGAACTTATTAAGCACTTTTTGTAGCTATAAAAAAACTCCAGACTTGAACTATTTTTCTAGACATTATCTTCAATTTCAAGACTATTTCCAGGTCTGGAAAATCAAGACTTTTCCAAGAATTTATGACTCTGTGTGAGCCCTGTTCTTTTTACAGTACATGTATTCATACTTTCAGTGATTTTTAAATGTTTTAAAGCAGAATGACCTTTAGAGAAGTACTTTACAACTTTTTTTGACTGAATTAAAGCTACTTGATGTTTCTATCACTCACTAATTATTTTCCCAAATATTGGCAAAGATCAAGGTCATCTGAAATCACTGTAAAAAAAGTTGATGAACTGATGCAGCACTTTTATGTACCTCAACTTTAACAGCACAAGTTGCAGTTGCCCCATACTAATTTCTATATCATTTGAGTACTTTACCCTAATAGCATTGCAGATGAAACAGAACTCAACACTGACACCTCTACCACCTAACATGAATGAAGCATTCGTCTTCTTCAACAAAAGAAGTACCAAGGTCTTGTAGTCTAGTACAACTAAGTTTGATAACAGAAATGGGAAAGCAAAAGTTAACATGCTAAACTTTCCAGGAAATTAATCTCTAATGTATCGAAAGAAAAGGGTAGTCAAATCAATTTCTGACGTAAAATAGTAATAAATTCCAGGTTTTATTTCTTGCTGCTGCAGTTAAACCTTGAACATGTTTTACAATATAAAAAACTCTTAATTTACCATAGTTTGACTACTGCTTCAATCTAGTTCTAGTCAGACTACCAACTGGGTAGAAACACAATAAATTGCTATAAATAGTATCATGAACAAGAAGTTGACTTTTAAAGCAAATTCCAAGACTAACATTGATTCTTACCCAGAAATTCAACGGTGTAATGTCTACCATCAACTGTCATTCCTTTTTCCTTT